CACTAGTCTCCTGGAGTTTGTAATAACTCTTGTAATAATAGAGTTAAATGGCGCTACCTTTGCACATATATTCTTTTAATCCATAAGGGACAGATAAATGTATTTTCACTTTCAATGAACCTTTTGGATTTCTTTTGACAGATACGACAAAAATTATCAAATTTGATTATTATTATCCACCTTTAGGAAGTGTCCTAAATAGCTTAAAGATCCAAAACAATACATTTATGTCAAAAGGGACGCCTAGAAAATCAATTTCATTGAATGATATATCGGCAAAAATACATGTTTTGGGCCACACACACACCCTTTTTACGATCCTGGTCAAGAAAAAAATACTTGAAAATTTATCTCTCCCTTATGGATGAAAAGAATATATGTGCAAAGTTAGCACCATTTATCTCTATTATTACAAGAGTTATTACAAACTCCAGGAGACTAGTGAGGTCCTTTTCTACAATAAACAATACGAATTTTCTCCTTCATAAATTAGTAAGGACTAGAAATAATTGAAGAAAACGTGAAAGAATCAAATATTTGCCACAGAATACATTATTTGACTGGATAGATTCAATTTTGAGACCTTCCAGACCTCTGATACTTGTTAAAGTTCAATATAAATCATACAGGGTATCCCAAAAAAAACATGGGAATTCAATGACGAATTGGATATCGTCTTTGTTATGAATTAGCATTGTAATACCTAATTTCAAAAGCCATAATGTTATTATGCCTGCTAGAGTTTATTTTATGAAAAGGGTAAAATATTGTAAAGATGTGTCATAATGTCTCCGCAAGATGAACAGTGAAGGCGGACAAGTTTACTCTTTTTTGTATACTGTATTTTTTTTGTTTTTACTGAGTACAACCGTATACAGTCAAAACATAAACAAACAAAATGTGAAAATAGCAGACGAAACTCATACAGATTACAGCTTTCTCAGAAGGTATCACCATACTAAATAAAAGAATTATTTGAAAAGACGATATCGAATTCGTCACTGAATTCCCATGTTTATTGGGACACCCTGTATCATAGTAACATTTTTACTTATCTAATCAAAGGTAATAATGTTAATGATAATCTATTCTTTTTTAAGCGCTTTCTAATAATTTAATAAATCCTTTTTATTACATGTTTAATGAATTTTTACAATGATAACCAGAAAACTAGGAAATAGGAAATGACTTTTAAACTCAAGTTAGGACTTAAATGAAATCATTGAACATTAAACATAGCAATTGTACAGGGTAATTGGACCATTTTCACTTAAATGGTGTTTTGCTAAGTTACAAGTAAAAATATTTACTTTGTAACAAAACGCTTGAGTATTGCTATAATGTCATCTTTCTATTCCATAGTTTTCTGGTTATCACTGTATATCACCTAGACCAACTACTTCTTGCTTTCCTGTAAGTAAATCCGTCTTTTTTCTCTGTCATGCTGTTTTTGTGCAGAGGGATTGAAAGGTTGTCGATTAGAAATGAATAAATTAATTTTAACGAGATTCTGAAGCTGATAATGGCTCTGTTTTATAAAAGAATGAATTTCATTTACATTTACAAAGGTTCAGAGATTTAGTTTAATAAGTAGAGATTAATCTCTGATAGTAATATTGAACATGAAGTTCTACATCTCGAGAGATTGCTCGTTTTGTTGCTTTAATCTCTAATACTATTCAATAATTGTGCTTACTGAGTTAGAACACCCAATACTCCGGCAGGCTTCAATCTATCTGGTATGTAAATAGAAGTGACAGGTTTGACATGATTCCGACAGAATTAATTAGTTTCCACTTGTATCATTTAAACTTTGAAATAGTTTCATACCAACTATACTTTGATACTCATCAATGTATCCTCGGTATTCAAAAATACTCAAAAAGTATCCTGCGTATCCTGAGTATCCTGCGTATCCTGAGTTTCCTGTATCTCCTGAGTATCAAGTGTATTCTAAGTATCTGAGTATCCTGCGTATCCTGCGTATCCTGAGTATCCTGCGTATCCAGAGTATCCTGCGTATCCTGAGTTTCCTGCGTATCCTGAGTATCCTGTGTATCCTAAGTATCCTGTGTTTCCTGAGTATCCTATATAACCTTCCTGCGAGACTTGATAGTCGTGATATCCTAAAGATTTTATGTAATGTGTATCTTAGTACTTCTAAGATGAGGAATGAGGAATGAAAAATGAGGAATGAAGAATGAGGAATGAAGCATTATATTAAAGAAAACCTCAAACAAGCGAAGCGATCCTAGCTAAGAGAATTTGCATAAACCTGCGAGATTTAAAAATGAATTTTGATAACGTATTTCCATTGATAGAATTTCATTATGTTTCTCAGCCTGTTTGTATACAATTGTAAAAAAAAACATTTCTTCAGCTGGCTGAAACAACTCGTGAGATATTACTAACGACTTTATGTCTCTTATTTAAGAATTGTACACCGTAAAAATGCTTAATTGGTATCAAATGAATCCTAAAGTTTTTCCCTAAAATACTGCATTCTCAGTTCAAATATGTTACATAGCCGGTCTCTCCCTTTAAGAAGGATGTCCTTCTCTATTGTTACCCTGCACTCTTTCCAAACATCTAACAGTGCAGACCTGAAGAGCTTGGTTCTCTATACCTGCAAACTAAGCACAACTAGGCATATATATTTACACTGCATTTCTATTCATGTATACAACACTCAAAAGTTCTTTTTCCCCGGAGAATAGGTCACAAGAAATTCTTGACCCCCCTTTTATCAGAATGGGAGGTCTTTGACCCTATGACTTCCCCATGTATCCGCGCCTGAGTTCTTGTCTTGTTTTTCTCTGTATTCCTAGAATATCTGGTGTTGAGAACTTTATGGAAATATTCTTTAATAAATTTCTGCTCCTCGTCTGAGATTGGCAGTTACCATCTCTTCTCTCAATCCTAAACATTTTAAACACTAAAGATAAATATTTATTACCCAAACCTTTATCTTCCTATAGGTCTAACCTTTAACCATCAGTGTGGAAATATCTTAGAATTTTGATTGAATATAGAACCGTACGTTTCAACATGATCATATAGTAAACCCCTACTCAATAACAAATCCTTGAAAGGCATCTATCCAGGTCCAACCCGTCCGCTATTAAAGTCAACCAAGACACCATCCTAACTGTTACAATCTCGTGAACTATCAACGCGCCACTACCACTGGGCGCGATCTTGTTAGCAATCCAACAAGCGATCAATCGGGCTGTAAATGCCACACTGGGACACTAGGGTAGCTTTCAAACAAGCTATCAATCGGGCTCCAAATGCCACACAGGGACACAAGCGTAGCTATCAAACAAGCTTTTAATCATGCTCCAAATGCCACACAGGGACACAAGCGTAGCTATCAAACAAGCTTTTAATCATGCTCTAAATGCCACACAGGAACACAAGCAACATAAAAAACTCTTTTTTAAAAACTCTTTTTTATTTACATATTTACTAATGGGCACGCTACACTCATATTTAATGTTTTAAGAGGAAGGGGTCCTTATTTTAATTATTGACACAGCTTTCGGGATAAGGACCAGTGTGGGGGGGATCTCAATATGTAGTTTCATTTCTACCATCATCATGGTAAATCATATCTTAACTATAATTGGATAAATATTTATTTTATTCATAATTCCAGCAATATAGCATATATAGCAATATAATAGCAGCATGGAATATGAGTTTTTAAAGAAATTTGAATGAAGAAGATTCTCAGTT